TGAATGAGGTAAACATGGTTTAGACTTTTGCTTGTCTTGGGAAAAAAAATGCAACCACTGATCTAAGTTATGGAAAAATAGCTAATGGGCATTGTTGGAAACTACTTCCTATAAGCATTGGTTGTTGTTTGGTAGGCAAGAGGAAGCAGTGGTGTTTTTCGCTTTCAACAGTGATAATGTGTTTGCCAAGTAATGCTGACATACCAGCTAAAACTACTGTAAGTTCATTTAAATGACTGTTAAAGGTAGAGGGTATGATTCTGATTACTAAAGTAAAGCTATGTAGAGGGAGATAACCTGCGTAGGTCTTGCACGCTAAAGACTCCCTAGCTCCCAGAACCAGTTCTATTTTTTTTTCTCGGTAAGTAGCCTTATCTGCTGATCTCTTCTTCTGTGAATGTAAGACAGTTCATGCGTTTTTCTGAATACGAGTATATATACCACTCTTGTAGACTGCTTAGAAAAAGGGTCAGTGGACCAATATTAAGGAACATAGCCATTTTCCAAATCCAGTTGGTAGCATATTTCCTAATTTTAGGATAATGTGTGTGTAGTGGAGGATGCATGCATGGTGTTCTCCAAAGGTACATGGCAGAAAGCTATGCAAAGGCACTGGTTTTTAAGCTTTAGGGTATTTCTTTAATCCCTTTCTGACACTTGGGTTTTCTGTAAAGGATAAACAATTGCCAGTGATGATGTATGGTTGCGTGTTAATCAAAGCTTTCAATTGCAGGTGTGAACTTAGTGTTTTGTGGTTTTTTTAAACACTGGAATTCTTGATAGCATAGGTTTATTTTTAACATATGCAATCCAGGTTTGCATTTTTTAGTACGTTTTGTTAAAATACTGTTATTTTGTGGTCATAAGAAAAGCCTGTTATTTTTTAAGCTGATAATGTGCTTGTTTTGATGCCATGCTATTCGTATTTTTGAATAGGCAGCAAAAATGTTTATTGAGAATTATTTTCTCAGGTACAGTTCACTCCATAATAGCTTTCTATGTTGTTTACTGAATCACAAATGGATGCAGCTCCACTTGAATGAGAGTTTTTTTCTTTGATGTCATTTTTCCTGTGTCTAAAGGAATATCTTAGAATTTTTAATTCTAAATTACTGAGAGAAACCAAACCAGCAGTTCAAACTATTAGATTGGATTACTGTTTATAGCTAATTTAAAAGTTGTATTGTACTCTTGTTTTATTCCCTTGAACTGGAACACCATACAATCTCAGCATAATTGTGCCCCTACCTTCCCTCTACCCCCCACCTCCAGCGTTTGACATGGCTTGTTCTGATAGTTTTTGTTAATTTTGGTCTATATCTTTTTAAAATATATCTTTGGACTTGGGTATCTCAAGGAAGATGCTTTGTAACACTGTGTGACAGTAGAAGTGAAATAAGCTTGTGAGATGTCATTGAAGATGCTTATTTAATATATGTAACTTCGCTGGTTATCCCATTGCACTAGTAGAACTCACTATTTCAAAATCTGGTTTTGACTTGAGTAACTACAAGGGGGCCTGCTGCTGCTTCTCTGCATGCTGCCATCATTTCTCTTCCTTAGTGCCTTACTGTCTTACTGTCTGAAGTTTCTTTTGCTTTATTCTAGAGTATTTTTTTTTTAAATTACAAGCGTATATACTTGTGCTAGCAAATACTACATTGTAGTAATGTGAATTTTCATTTTTCAGGTAGTTTTATGGTCCGAAAATGTCTTTAGTTAGTGGGTAGGGTGGTGTCAAACAGATTTTGGCAAAAATTACCTTGCAAAATTCAGTGACTTCCCACAGCTTTCCTCCTGATGGCACTTTGGCACAGTCCCGTCCCAAAAGTATGGCAGCTGGAAATGCTGGGTTTTTGTCTGTTAAATTGTTTTTGCAGTGTGTTTAAGGTGAGCATACAACAGAAGCAAAATCACTTTCTAGAAGAGCTTTATTTGGTAAACTGTCTTAATGCTCCAGCTGCTTTTCTAAATGTATTTTTGCAGAATGCAAAGCCTCTGCACATTGAAAATGCCGGCAGAGCTTGAATTACTGGTCACGTGCTGGTTTGAAAACAGTAAAACATTTTGAACTGCAGCAGCTGAAAGGAAAAGGTGAAACATGCCTGCTCTATAAATAGCTTCTGTAGCAAACACACAACTTTTCTGCCCGCAACTCTTTTGTTATCCTTAGCTGATAATGTGCAAGCTTCTTTTTCAGTTTAGATGTGAAACATTGGTGATGTTTTTTTTGGAATGGACAAAATATTTCCAGCAAAGCTTTCTAACTTGGAGTAAAAGAGGAATTTTCCCTTTGAAGGAAAATACCTATGTGGAGTGAGGGCTAGCAGCTTTTAGCTGTAAAGCCTTTTTCCTGCACCTTTGGATTTGTTAGTGAAATGTCATTATCTTGAAGTCCCTGTGTGCGTGATTCCTTTTGCCTTTTTCCAGGACTGTGTAACATTTCTCTTCTCAGCAGGCTATAAATTACTTCCAGTGAAAGCTTTCTAGCAAAGCACAGTGTGTCCATCTTTTACCTGCTACTAACTTTTCATGCTTTATTTGGAGAATATTAGGTGGTTAGGTTAACGATGAAGGCTAGGACTTCAGGGGATCAGCCCTCCCTGTTGAGTACTCTGTAGTGTTGGGGGCAGTGGAGGAGGTGGTATTTAGTGTCTGGTAGGTTAAATTATAACAACCCTACCAGGGGTTCTGAGCTGAAATTTCACAAATTATTTTCTCTAGTGTGTTGAAACCTTTTTGAAGGTCATATTTACTAACAACAATTTATTTATTTAAAAACACAATCAGAAAAAGAGGAGGGAAATAGTATTTCATAATGACCAGGCATAGTACATCATTGCAGCATAGTTAATACAGAGCTTCCACATTTTAACCTGCAAGGGCAGCTGATGTTTTTGTTTAAACCCTCTGTAATTTAAGAAGGGTAGGTTAGGTAGCTTGACTGTCATTATTTGGGCCAGGATCAGTGTTTATAAACGTTGCTGCTTGTAACATGAATGTAATATGAAAAAAGTCTCAGTGGAGAGAGAGGGGGAGCTGTGAGCTGTGTTTGTGTCTGAACAGTGGAGGGACTTGAAGGCAGACCTGCTGTTAATGGTAAATATTTCTGGAAACATTCATCTTTCCAGGAAGATTTTAACTTTTTGAATGCTTGAATTATATACTGACAAATTAGAAGTGGTAATATTATTGGAGTAGCTGGCTGAGTGTTTTTTTTTTTTAAATTGGCTTAATAGAAAACGTTTCATTAATCCTTTTTCTACTGGAATTAATAGGAATTCAGGTACTTAATAAGAATGGGACTGAGTGGGATCAGGCCATTTCAATGTTCAAGTGTTAGGCTTTTCCTCAGCTCCTAGATGAGAGACAGTTTAATGTATGCTTCATAGGAAAGTGATATTGAATGAAAAATCTCATCTGCCGTTTCTGTGGAACTACCAATCCAACTTCCACTTACTGGGAATTAACCTGAAATAAATAGAGCTGGCTAAGTTTTAACAAAGCCTCTCTTTTTGAGGGAATGAGGTCACAGGAGCATGCTGTGACTACTTAAAAACCGAAGGGAAAGGCAGAGGGAGGAGCTCATGATGTGAGGGGCAATTCCACTCCCCTTCTCTCTGCATTTAAGTGGAGATGAGCAAGAATACCGTGTACTGCTGGGCTTGTTTGTCCACTCTGCTTCCTGTCTGTGCCCTTTACAACCTACTGCCTCTTCAGCTTCAACTCTTAACTGCTTTAACTGGCAAACATCCTCTTCAAAGTCGAGGTTAGTGTGTGCATATGACCTTATTCAGGGTAGAGTATCAGAGTACTGCAGCTGACTGTAATCCAGACAGTGATGCTGACTGTACAACCTGCTCTGACGTGTACCATATAAACAAATGGAAAAAATGATGGATTTTCCTCTTTGTTTCCTGTAACTTGAAGAGCTTTTTAAAAACAATTGGGAGATACAACAGTTTGGACTAGAGCTATGTATATATTTTGTCTTTTTTCTTTTCCACCTAATTTTCATGTGATACTGCTTCCTACAATACACTTTCCTGGTATTTCAAGAGTGCTAAATCAATTTTGAACTTGAGGGAGTGTGGTTTTATATTTCCATTATAAGTACGGTGTTATGTGTTAACTATTTGTCATAAGTGTTTTATGTACTGTCTGTTCAAGTCTTAATACTGATACGGCATATGAAATTTAGTTGTATTGCCCTTTATCTATGCCTCTGACATAACACTTGAGCCAAAACCAATGTCATGCTTATGTAAAAGCCAAAAGAAACTCCCGAATTCTACTATTCAGTGAAGTATTGCGAGCCAAACGTGGGCCTTCATCTTGGGCAAACACAGGTGAGTTTAGGTCTGATCTTCATAGTTTGAGACCTAGATTCAAGAGGGTGCTGTGTTGACGAGTGGCATCCTTGCTGACGTGAACATCTTTTTTATAGTATACCATACCTTCCTACATTACAGAAAAACCCTAGCTCTTTTGCCTTGTGCTTTATTATGCTGAGTGGAAAACAGGACCATAATGCAGACTTCTGAAACGGTGCTTGTGTGTCTCAGTATTATATCAGATATATCAGTATATCTGATATCCTGTGTATTGGTACCTGCAGCAGTTTCCATCTCCAAAGAGCTTGACAAACATAGCTGTCTTGCTGAATCACCTGAGTCACCATGAGCTTTAGCATGAGCTTAGTGATGGTAGAGGTGAAAGCAAAGTGGTTAAGTGACTTGTGTCAGTGAATCAGTGGCAGAATTGAAACTAGGACCTGGGTTCGTGCCACTAGAGTGCACTACTTCCCTCCTACTTATTGAGAGAATGGTTACATTTTCTGGTAGATGCTGCAGGTGTGGGGTTTGGAGAATTGCTGCCAACTTGTTGAGTTACTGGGAGTTTCACATTGATCTTAATCAGGTGCAGCTCTGCTTCTACAGCTATCGTTTACCAAATAAATGTGTTTCTTACTATGAAACTTCTATGAATGGAATGATGGAATGGCAAAGAGGGCTAGTACACTAGCTTTTTACCGCCCTTTTGATTTTATTGAAGATGGAAAGGGTATGTCCGAAAGAAAGGTTAATCATTTTTGTAATTAAAGCAAGTTCTTTAAGTTATCTCTTTTCTCAGAAATAACTGATGACTTTTACTTTATTAAGAAAAGATGGTTTATTATGAGATACAGTACTTTACTTGTATTATTAAGTTTTCTTTTTTTCCCCACACAGGTTTCCACTTGAGTGGCACAGTAACAGAGCCTGCAATGCAATCGGAGCCAGAAACTGTTTGCAATGTAGCTATCAGCTTTGATCGTTGCAAGATTACCTCAGTGACCTGTAGCTGTGGAAACAAGGACATATTTTACTGTGCCCATGTTGTGGCACTCTCTTTATACCGGATCCGCAAGCCAGATCAGGTCAAACTGCATCTTCCCATTTCAGAGACGCTCTTTCAAATGAACAGAGACCAACTACAAAAATTTGTACAATATTTGATCACAGTGCACCACACAGAAGTTTTGCCAACTGCTCAAAAATTAGCAGATGAAATTCTTTCTCAGAATTCAGAAATCAATCAAGTCCATGGTGAGTTTGATACTTGTTCTTCCTTTTGCATCATTCCCTCTTTGGTTTTGAGGGTTTCTTTGGCATTGAGGAGTGTGACCTGTTGAAGTCCCTTCCAACCCGAGTTATCTGTAATTCTCTGGTGTTTACTAAAGAGGATTCTGTTACTGAACCTTCACTTTAAGATGTTTAGAAGGCAATACTTTTTGGAAAAGAGAAAAGAATCTGTAAGCAATGAGCTTGATGGCTCCAGCGCTGTTAATATGTGGCCTAATCTGCTTCACACTTGTTTTTTCCAGCTATGAAAAACTAAGTAGTGTTGGGTTTTGTATAGCCACGTTGCTTAAAGGAATTATCTTATCAATGTACCAGTGGCATCTTTTTGTTATTTTGTTCTTTTTGAACTAATCTTCTGACATTTTGATTGTGTAATTTTGTTTTAATGGCAAAGCATAAAAGCAAGTAGTGTCACTGTTTTGGGTTTTTTTTATTCATTTGTTTGCTCCTGTAAAGTCACCTGATAGAAATGTCCTCCAAGTTAACCAGAGCTGTAAGCATAAGGGCAGCTTAGAGAGGAAGAATAAGTTCTCTAAATATCTTAAAAATATCATTTTTGTTTGTTTGTTCATTAACAGGAACAGTTATTGTGTGTTAGATATTCAAGAGGGATGACTGCTATTTCAGAGAATTAGCAATACAAATAAAACCAAGCTGCTTAATGCTAAGAGGAAAAAAAAAAAAAAAAAGACGTGTTTGTTAGATACAGTGTAGGCAGAACAAGAGAAGGGAATCTTTCCAATAACAGGAGCCTTCTGCAGCCTAGCCCCTCTCCTTAGAGTCCAGTGACCCTGGCAGGCCCAGGTGGATGGTGCTGCAAGAAGGTGAATTTCAGGAGCAGTGTTCTTTTTTGGCTTTCGTGGATGTGGCCAGGGGCAAGGTGGTTGCTTTTAGTTACGGAACATAATGAGAAGGTGATTGGCAGAGCTGCCTGCTAATGGTGAAGAGAAATCTAAGCTAAAATAAATGCAGGATATTAAGCAATAGGGGAAGATGCTGAGGTGTTTTAAACTGAAGGCTTGTATCGCATGAGAGTTGGTAATAGCCTGAACATAAGGAATTAAGGGGAAGGAATAATTACAGTGAGAATAAGAGTGGCACAGAAGATTCAAATAGTCAAGGATGATTAGAAAAGGGTAAGGTGGGGTGGGAAAGGAAGGACAGATGATGGCTATATAGGGCCATATTAGCTGTACTACAGTTAGTGTAAGAGAAACAACAAGCTGTTGCAGAGAGTGCTTAAACTTGATCAAAATCAAATCTGTAATTAAAGTAATCACAGCATGTTTGTCTTTGTCAGCTGTTTCCTTATTGTCAAAATATCTCATTACTGTTCAGTATTTGAAGTATTTTTAGAGAGGTATTTGATGTTTACGTGACTGCCTAAATAGCTAAAAGAATTGGAAACAAAAAACTAAGTTGATGATCAATTATGAAATTTCATTATTAATTTGAGTAGGTTAGTTTAAAAATGTACACAAAACTAAAATGTTTCTTACACATGTTGCTGTTTTCCTAGTAAATGAGATTGCAGTATGTCTTTACTGACTGTTGGTATTTCTTAATAAAATATCAAAAACTGAACTAAAAAAATCCTGGCAGCACTAGAAAATAAACTGCTATTACCAAAGAAAGCTGGGTTAAAAAAGAGGACAAATAGTCTCTTGCTTTTTCTGACTCCCCTAAAACCATGGTCTGATTTTGTTTTTTACATGTTTATAGTGTTAAATTACAGGATTCTTTTAAGGCAAAAGTAAGTTCCTCTGGTATGTAGCAAGTAAGTGTTCTTCTGGGATTCATACTGTAATTATGTTATTTCGATCTTTAATCAAATTCCTTAAATTAAAAATAATAAACTTAACCAAAAGAAGTCTGAAAAAAAATAACCAAAAAAATCAGTCTCTGGTTCTAATAGCATAGGCTGGTAAACGTAAGATCACCATTCAGTCTGTTGCATCTCCTGTGCTGGAGCAGTTCAGTTTGTAATACAAAGCTGTCTTCTAGACCTGTCTTGCTTTGAATGGTTTAACCTCATTAAACTGGTGTTTTAAGAAGAATTATGTTGAACACTGTTTGATGGCACAGGTAAGTAACAGGAAAAACTTAGTCTTACTAATAAAATAAGACAAGAGCTGGCACAGAAACACCAGAAACAGCTTTGATCAAAGGGAAGTCCTGAACCTGGAGTTGGATGAGAAAACTATTTTCAGTGTTACCTAGAGGTGTTGAAATTTCAGGGCTGCTTTATATAAAACTTGAAATTTTAAATTTTTTTCTCTCGTGGTGGCTGTACTACTTATGGTTTCCATTCCTTTCCAGCGGTAGGCAAAGGACATTGGCTCTTGAATACTGTTGATTCGTTTGTAAGAATGGTCTGGGACTTTCAAGAGCTCTGACCACAGCAGTCTGGTTGACTTGCTTATGAGCCAGCTAGGGAGATGGAACAACTCTGTAGTACTTTCCTTTCACAAAAGGTGAATTGGATAATTGTTCATTTGCTCAAAATTTTGTCTTATGCGGTATTCAGTGACTGGCTTTGGCTGCCTTCCTGGTGAAGGAGTTTGCTGGGGGAACTAGTGAAGTGACTTACACTCATGACATGGGTTTTGAAATGACAAATCCCTTTTGAATTCCTCAGTGGACACAAATGACGCAATATCCTTTCTTGCTTCATGTCTGAGCCTCACTGAAGCAAGAAATAAGGGGTGCTCTTGGAGTTGCAGGAATGTGTTGTCTATTCACTAACTTTGTCAGGAGAGCTGAGTGTTTTATTGGGAATCCTCTCCTGTGTTTGCCATGATACTTTCACTTGGTGCTGATTACCTTACAAGAGGGTTTTGCATGTTCTTAGAGCACAGAAGGACCCCTTACATTTGAGAAGTTGTGTTCTGATATTCCCATGTGACACTGGTACAGCTGTTCGTGTTCACGATGATTTAAAAACTGGAGATCTATGGGGTCTAACCCTCTGTACTGAAGACAACTGTAGGTGCCCTGACGTCTGCGCTACCTAACTTTGGCTTCACGTTGGGTTTCAGTTTGGGCACGCTGACTCAGGAAGCTGGATGTAGATTTGAATCCTGCTTAGCGGAGGCTTTTTTTTCTCCTTGTTAATTTTTGTGACATTGTAACAGAGGAAGCTGGCGGGTGTGTAAGGCTAAGAAGAGAAGAGTTGGGATGAGAGAACATCAGCGGAGCTTGTCATCTTGAATGTGTCTTTTCTACGTATGAAACTTTCACTTAAATAAATTGGTTGGAAGGTCAAACTATGTTCCTGAGAATTTGAGTGGAAATAGGAAATAACTGCAAGATGCAACGTGGGGGGGAGGTCTGTTTGCATATTAATCTCATATTAGCATTGATATGTTGTTATGTGCATCATGGTAAAGGGACTGCCTTTTACTGGTATAAGGACAGCCTAGCAAACCAATTCCATTTTTACCTTTTAAGCTGTACTGTTGCTTTCCTGAGTGTTCAGTGCTGCTGTTGCAATATCTGCTCTTCGAAGAACTAGGTGGATTTCTCCAGACTTTCTTCTGTTCTCTGGTTCTTTGACTCACAACACAAGTCACTCGCCAGTACAAAACCACATGCAGATGAACTCAAATTTGAGGGAGGACCTGACAGAAAGTGGTTTAAATAAGTTTGTCTTCTCAGAAGCAGGGGTGCCTTGGTAGTTGTTTCTGTATTTGTCCAGACAGATCTAGGTACATCCTCTGCAAACATTAATCTCTAAAATATATTAGGAGTGCCAGTGGAGGCATTCAAGAGGGAAACATCTATTGAAAAAATTGTTTTAAAAGAAAAGTTTGGAGTATCTAGAGCTGTTCCTATATATTTTAAGTTCCAAAGGGCAATCCAGAGGTACAGAAAATGAATGTTAAAATTAACGTAGTGTATTTAGCTAAAATGATGGGGTTTTTAGTGGAAAGCTCTAGGGCAGGATAGGCCTGAACAAGAGTACAACGTATTGCTGATCTACTAGAAAAGGGAATGTTTAATGTTAAAGAAGATACATTATTAAAAAATTGGTGGAATCTTTCATTGGGCCCTGCTTAAACTGGCAAAATTGATGGAGAAACTAGTTGCAAAAGAAGAACGTAGGAAATGACAGGCGAGCTTCCTTTCAAGAATGAAAGTGGTGCAATGCTTAGCATGAGAATTATTTAGTGAACCAGATTTGGGAAGGAAGTAACAACAACAACAAAACTAGCTAAAACTAGAGACATTTCATGAACCCAAGTAGAAGTAAATAAGTAGCACAATGTAAAATAAAATTAAAGATTGGTGGCTGCAAAAAAACATGAAAAAGTAATTTATGAAATTTATACTTTTTAGGAAAGGTTTTTTCAGATACATTAAACATAAAAACTTACAAAATAGAAAATAAATGGTGAGATTTTGTTTTGAGACATGGAAGGTAGAAATAAATTAAAATAATGCATACTAGTCTATGCTGATAAGGAAGTTCTTTTATCTGCCACATGCAAGCAGACTAAAACATTGCTGTATAATGTTTATGAGACCTGGAGTTTAGCAGGAGACATTAGTATTGTCAGCAGATAAGTTTATGCATTTTACTGTAATTGCAGATAGAAGGGAAATAATTTTTTGGAACTTAAACTTTTTGGGGGCATATTACTGCTTCTCAGCAGCTTAGCGTAGTCTGTCCTGTCTTTGTATTTTCTGTTGTTAGCACTGGCTGCTTCACAGCAGTTGCTGTTTTTCGTTGATGCTATGTGTTGCTGAACAGGTGCTATATTTCACCCAAGAGTTCTTAAGTACAAGTTCAAGTGACTTATGTCTAAACTTTGAATCCTTTGGGGAATCAAAGGCATAATTTTTTTCTTCATTAATTTTATGATCTTTGGTGTATGTAATTATTATTTAGAAAAATTCTGAGCACACCAAGTTGTTAAAATCAATTACTATTCTATTGTGAATCAGTGTACAGCAGTATTGCTTTCTAGCTGGGACTATTCAGTCTTTGCATAAGACTCAGTAAGTCATGCTTTTTCTTTGTAATCTCTTTGTAATAAATTTTCTATATCTTCTTCTCCTTAATGCTGCCATAGCATGGCATTTAATAAATTTAACTGATCTACAGTTCATTTGTATGCTTGATAAGATTTTTATAAAATGAAGTTCAAAAAAGTTTCAGTATGGCTAAGAGTGAATGTTATGTTTTCATTTGAGGATTAAATCAATTTGTGTGATACTTTAGAAATAAGGGCCAGGGAAGCAGTTTGCCTTAAAGACTACCTTCTGTACTTTTAACCAAATTCCAGTGTTGATCTACACGTGAGTAGTTTGCAATATAGGCAGTTCTTAGCCTACTTTAGTCAGTGCTCTCAGCTTTGCTTCTACTTACTTTTTGAGGTTAAGTTCTCCATATACAACACCAGTTCTTGAATGTGGTCGCTCACTTGAATGCAGTTGCTCTTAAAATGGCTGTGTAAATGAACAATGTTTTGGGTTTTTTTTTTTAAAGGCTTCTGCTTCTTAGAACTTGGGAGTTGATTATATTTAACGTGTAACCTGCTGTGACCATAAATATGAAGGGCTGTTACCCTGTTTTCAAAACTTTTTTTGGGTGCTCAGCATTATAAGCAGTTGTGCACAATATTCCTGCTTTGGTCGCTAAGACTGCAATTTAGTAATTTTAGTAAAAGCACGTTAGGTATGTATGCCTGTGTCTGTATACTGAGTATAAATACTTATTGCATTTAACTGTAAATACATGACACAAAACCTGTTTCAAAGATCAGTCACGACAGAAGTTAAAAAAGCCAGAGGTTGGAGGGAGGGAAGTTAATGTTAGTGTCTATAAACTGACAGAGTTTAATTACAAGTTTTAATATTTAGTGTAATTATACAGTGCTTTTCACTTTCATAGTTCAAATGTGAACTGATTTATCCTCATGACACCCCTCTAAAGCACGTAATATTTATCCCCAGTTTACAAGTGGGGAAGGTGATTTGGTCTTGGTACCAAACTGCGCTGCAGAGATGAAATTCAGGGCTGCGTATGTTCTTCTCTGCAGCCAAACTGTCGGTCTGCTGCAGGCTTTAGATGCCTGTGTGGGCAGTGCTGCACCCTGAGCAAAGCTACCACCTTTGCAGTGAATCTTCAGCTCTGCCTGGTGTTGAGCCTGAGCCTTCCTGCTGGCTATTGCTAGGGCTTTGTCCTGCAGCTTCTAAGGCAGCTCTCTCCCATTCCTTGTTCAGACAGTTTCTTGTCTACTCGCCCAATTCCATGTCTTCAGAAGAGCCGTGTCAGTGTAGAAATCCTGTCTGTTACCCAAGAGTGATCTGTGTTTGAGTGGGAGAGGAAGGAGGCTAGATCAATCAGTGTTACCAGGACTGTAAGGGAAAGTAGTGGTCTTGAAAAGTGGCTGGTTGAAAGACATGGAGATGGTAATTTATTGACTCCAAAACAAGAGTGACATGGGCAGTGCAAGCTAGGGCTTCCCCAGCAGCACCATTGGCATGCCTGGCTGCTGCTGTGATGGGTAGGTGGTCTAATCATGCCTGATCCGACGTGCCATCTCTGTGCCTTGTTAGTGCATGGCTGTTGCTCAAGACTGCCAATGGTGTTGAAAGATCAGTGAATTACAGCTGCAGCTGATGCTGGTTACATGTATACTGAAACGTCTTTATACATATTGAAAATTTTGACCATACTGCGTGTAGCCTATATAAGATCTTGTAAAAAAAAAATCACTTGGAGTCAGATGTATCAGTAGTACTATGCTGAACAGCATCATCAGGCTCAGACCCTCAGCTTGGTGTCTTCAGCATTTACAGTGTTGTAACCTACTGGCATGAAAATAACGCTGGTGTAAGTACAGCGCTGCTGAGCCCCTGGGGAAGGTATATTTGGGATTACGCTGGGAGAAGAGGCCTTGGTGGGGGCAGTGCTGCTGGCCCGGGGCAGCAGGCAGCCTTGTTCCTGTAAAGGAACCCTGTTGTTAAGGAATCTGTGGTAGCTGTGTTGAAATTTAACCTATAGCACAAACTGACCGATGAGCTTTTGGTAAAATGTAAACAGTTGTGGAAGGAATTTTAGGTTTTTTTCCCTAAATAGGGAAGCCTAGTTGAGGAATCTTGGGCTATTTTTACTTCAATTTAAAAGTAGCCATACCAAGATTATTTAAAAATAAATCTCCATTGAAGTGAGCAATAAATATAAATGTATTTTATATATTGATGGTTTTATATAGTTCTTTTTCACAGGTCTTTTCTCTGTTTTACAGCAATGAAATATTTACTTGCAAGGTTATACTGCAAACTTGGGTCTGTGTGACAGCTGCACTGCTTGTTCTCTTGTGGCTTGATTTCCCTTTTTATCTTGTTCTTTGCAACTGAAGGCTTACCAATATGTGTTTCATGTAGCTGTCTGAACTGCACGTCCCTTAAAACTGACATGGAAGCACTTGCAGAAGAGGAGGTTTTCATTCCTTGGTTTTCTTACGGTCTTTGGCTTGATTCCTGTCTTCTGAGACACTGTTATGGTTCCTATGGAAGGCAGGATTGTTCATTCACATCTTCAAAGACACAATTTCTTATTAATCTAAATGTGTGTTTGTGTGTATGTGTGCACATACCCACTCATCCACCAGTGCAGTGTTCCCAGCAGTAGGAAGTTGCTGAGCTGGAAGATTTTTTTTTTTCTTTTAACTCTACCAGCCACTAGTAGACAAGACATCCTTCTGACTCTTTAAATCTTCCAGTTTTATTTTCACTGAGTAAAGATTCCAGCATTCCCTGTGATTGCCTAAAAGCCTCACCTACATTACAGAACTGTAATGGTGAAATGAAGGCTTGAATCCATAGAATCAATGTTTGATTCTTTATACATTTGAAGAGTTGTAGCTGGTTTTGCTTTTCAAGTTCTCAGGACTTCTTAGAAAAAACAAGTTTTTACAAATCTACCTATGTAGTTTTCCTTCCCTGCCAGTATCCCTTTTTTTTGTCTACAGAGGGAAATGGACTTAGATTTAAAGGTGATAGACTGTGTAACACTATTCAATTTCTAACATATTCTCAAAACCTTATGGAGGTGGAGTTGTGACAAGCCCAAAATCAAAATGTCAAGGTAACTTGAGTCTTAGGTATGTGTAAAATACCTTACATCTGCTATGGTGATATACTACTTTTGAGTTGTTACCCTGACAGTCCAGGTAAGTGCTTTTCAGTTTAAGTATCTTTAAAAAAGTATCCAGTGGAGGTGCAGGCTTCTTCAGAAAAGCGTAGATTGCTAGATGGTGCAAGAACTTGTTTTGTTTAATTTTGTCAGCCTTTAGAAGAGGCCACCAGTGGAAAATCACTGGTCTCAACTGCAAAATTTGAGCACTTGAGCAGCCTGTGGCCAAAGCCCTGCCTGATGTTAATCTAGTCAGTTCAGTCCACACTAGCCTAATTCAAGTAGAGTTGCTTTGAATTGACTCTGTGCTGATGACATTGGCTATGTAAAAATGTTCCTTTGGAAGCACCAGTCTTACACAGCTGTAACTCTTCCTTATAGTGGAAATGCCTTTAGTGCTTTGAGACCTGGTATTTGTGTGGAGATTTTTTTTTTAGTCTTTGTTTAGCTTTGCAGAGCCATAACATCTCAGAGGCACCAAAGTGGTGCTTTTCCTCATGTAAAACTGAACATGAGCCAGCAGTGTATGATTGCGGCCCAGAAAGCCAAACGCTATCCTGGGCTGCATCAAGAGGAGCATGGCCAGCAGGTCAAAGGAGGTGATTCTCCCCCTCTGCTCTGCTCTCGTGAGACCCCACCTGGAGTACTGCATCCAGCTCTGGGCCCCCCAACGCAGCAAGGACGTGGAGCTGTTGGAGTGGATCCAGAGGAGGTCCATGAAGATGATCAGAGGGCTGGAGCACCTCCCCTATGAGGACAGGCTGAGAGAGTTGGGGTTGTTCAGCCTGGAGAAGAGAAGGCTCCTGGGAGACCTTAGAGCAGCCTTCCAGTACTTGAAGGGGGCTACAGGAGAGATGGGGAAGGGCTTTTTACAAGGGCATGCAGCGACAGGATGAGGGCTAATGGATTTAAATTGGAAGAGGGCAGATTTAGACTAGATGTTAGAAATTCTTGACTGAGAGGGTGGTGAGGCACTGGAACAGGTTGCCAAAAGAAGATGTTGATGCCGCATCCCTGGAGGTGTTCAAGGCCAGGCTGGATGAGGCTTTGAGCAACCTGGGCTAGTGGGAGTTGTCCCTGACTGCGACAGGGGGATTGGAACTAGGTGATCTCTCAGGTCCTTTCCAGCCCTAACCATTCTATGATTCTATGTTTATCAATAGCAGTATTCACTAGCAGTCACTTAAACCTGAGCAAGATTGCTGAAGGTCCAGGAATTACACAGTTGTTTTGAGGAGAGTGGTTTTAACATCACAGTTGTAGAAATACTCTTCAAAGTCTAATTTGCCTTGTAAAAACATTCTAGTGTAGCTGCTGAGAGAGGAGGAAAAAGCTCACCTTGATTTTAATGTTTTATTTAAAAAATATTTTTTTCATTTTAATATTTTATTATAAAATAAATTTTGTTTAATTACCTTTTCGTAGGCTGTAATTTCTACGTGTTTAAGACTAATGAGGAGAAATCTAAGTGTATTTCAAAATATGTTTCAATTAAAATCAAGACATCCAAAAACACAAACCCAAAATCCTCTGCAGTACTCCCCTCCCCTGGACCCATGAACCTCTCTTCTCTATATGGAACATAATGATTTAATTTCTTGCTGTTTACAGGTGCTCCTGACCCAACAGCGGGTGCTAGCATAGATGATGACAACTGCTGGCATTTGGATGAAGAACAGGTCCAAGAACAGGTGAAACTCTTTCTCTCGCAAGGTGGATACCATGGATCAGGGAAGCAGCTCAATTTGCTTTTTGCAAAGGTGTGTTGAGTACTCTAAACCTTCCCTTTTTTTGTCTTCACTGTTCCCCAAGCCAGTCTATACTTGTTCGAGTTTTACTCAAAGTCCTGTTGTGCTAATACAAGACAAAGCCTTAGGAACACAATGGCAAATTAATGAGTTGTGCAGCAATGGGCCACAATCTGATGTGTCTTGAGATCAGTTTAAGGATATGAAGTAACATTTCCACTGGCTGAAGCTTTGCTCTTCTCTTCCTTCCCACCCCAAAGTGTTGGAGAAACCTGTAGAAATTACAGTCTTGCAGCAGTTTGCATAACACACCTGTGGATTACTTGTGGAAGAAGTGTCTTTGAAGAATAGCAATGGGATACTGAAACCAAAAATTGTAAAAATTGGGAAGGCAGACTGGTTTTTGTACTTAAAAATTTCACATCAGATATATAAATTACGGTTTTTAACAGAGGTGGAGTGCTGAACACTGCAGCATATTGTCTGTACTGTGATATATTTGCTTTTTCAAATTTGTTTTGTTCAAGTTTTCAAAAGACTCATTTCTTAGGTGCGAGAGATGCTGAAGATGAGAGATTCAAATGGAGCTCGCATGTTGACCTTGATAACAGAACAGTTCATGGCTGACCCTCGTCTGTCGCTGTGGAGACAACAAGGAACTACAATGACTGACAAGTATAGGCAGCTCTGGGATGAACTGGGTAAATGCACAGACTTCAAAATCATTCCGGTGTTCATATGTATAATGATGAAGAAACAATTACATATTTGGGGTAGATAGAAACTAGGTAAAGCAGGTTGGACTTCTCTGCAGTTTTGCTGGATGAAATTGAATTTCTGATCTAGAGCATGAGACAGCTGCAATTGGAGGAGAGGCATGGTGTGAAACAAGTACAATTGCAACAAGTTCTAAGTACCTGAGGATGTAAAAAGACTTAAGCAAAAAGTGGAAAGGTAGCTATACAACTGAGGGTGAGTATATAAGTCACTAGTGCTAAACTGTAAAGGTTAAAGAGGAATTAGATTCACAACCAGAGAGAAATAGATGACAAAAAGAGTATGCTCATTAAGAGTATGAGAAGATAACAAGAAAGGAAACTACAAGTCCATTACTGAGCAGGAAAGGAGATCAAGTAACAGAGGGTTAAAACAATTAACATTGCTTTACGGGAGCGGGCAGCTGTGACCAGATACATGACTTAGTTGTACAACAGCGAGAGGAACACAGGCTGAAATGGGAAAGGAATATTTAACTCTTAAGGTCTGAGGACACTTGCTCTAAAGTGTTCCATAGACTTGCTGACACAGTTTTGAACTACTGCTTCAGAAGTTCGCATGATCATCTGGGATTTGTGGTAGGGAGGGGAAATTCAAAACAACTTAAATGTAAATGTCACCAATATTTTAAATGTGCGTAGGTGAGTGGAAAGAATATTAAGTAACCACAAGCGTTGCTTTCCTAGGTGTAAGGTACTGGAACAAACTACTAACCAGTTGGTGTGTAAGTGTGTAGAAGATAAAAGCGATAAAAGACAACCTGAATTATTTAAAATACAGTGGTAAATCTAATTTGTTTCTCAAAAAGATAATTCACTGAGTGTATGACTGAACGGAATAATGTGTATATCTTAGCTGTAGTAAGGTCTTGGAGGCTTTTTCAAAGCAAGCTGAAGGCACATAGTCTAAACTGAATCACCTTGTGGTTCACAGAGCCTTGAGTAGTTACTTGTGCTCTCAGTCAACCTGGAAGGACACTTCAAGTCCAGACTTAGAGGAGTCTGCCTTGAGATGTGTTCTAGTCAATATTGCAATGCCTGGTTTATATGGCATGGAACAATAGAAATACATCTTAAATAACAAACAACCAAGTAACCTTACAGATCATGCCCTGTGGGATGTTATGTAAACACTGTGGAGAAGAGGGACAAAGACAATAATGCTCTTGATACATTCTAAAGGTCCAAAATCAAGCTAAGTGAAATTAAATCCAAGCAGGAATAACATGCTTTGTTTAGAAAGGAAATGTCAAAAGCAAAACTTAAGTTTTCCACTGTTAAAGGTTAAAGATGGCCATGATTGATTGCATGTTGACTGGTGGGGCTCAGACTGGATATAACCTGTTTAGCATAAGTTATGTTCACTCTAAATGAAGTATTAGGCTAATAAAGCACTGGCTGTCTAGCTGAGATTAGAGATCTCTGGTGGAAAGCCTTAATGTCACAGAGCAGGCAGATCTGTAAAGAGAGAGTGTAGATACTTTGTCTTCAAGTGTAACAGCCCTTTTAGCATGTCATTTTTGTGACGCCTTAGGTTGTTGGGGGGTAACAGTTTCTGCCAAGCAGGGCATGTACTTAGCTGGACATGTAAGGTGGCAAAATTGCATCCCACCATACTGAAAACTGGAGGGTCTCATGCTTCATTGCTTATGTGGGTTTTGCTGGTAGGTGGTGGGAGAGGTAGAAGTGTGTTCTCCATCTGTTACCTGTAGAAATCTCGCCACGTGCTGCCAATAAACATAAAAGGTTTTGTTACTTCTGTTAGCGGCTCCTCTTCTTGTTTCATCAGTTTCATAGTAACATCATTTTCTTGACAGCACCTATCTGAATGTGGAGGAGGTGGAATGGTTCTGCCTGGAGCATCAAATAAGAAATATTTCAGATTAATTGAATTTATTATTTTACCTCTGTTTAACCAGAATTATAGGTACCACCTACAAAAAGCGTCAGTGCAATCTCCAGCCTCACCACGACCTCAGCTGTTGTATTTGCAATCTGAGGCAGACCCTGTTGTTTCAGTCCTGAACTGCTCTGCTGCCTCTAACAGTATCAAAATATGTAGATCGTGTACCATGGTTTCAATTGCAAATACACTTCAATCACTTTGACTGTGCAGTAGGCTGGGCGTAGAACTTAACTTGGTTCTTCCACCTCCAGCTTGTGTTTTTGTTGCTAAACTGTCCATTTCTTCCCCACACCATAGAATTCCTTCCACTGATGCTTAGCAAGTTCCCTCAGAAATGCTGTTAATTAGATGAATCTCTCCAGCTTGACTTCTACCTTGTGTGAAATTTACAAGCTGCTGCCATGTTTTTGCTAGGATTTCAACTTGAGTTTTACTCAAATTAAACACATCACTTTTTCCAGGTGAAATGTGCATCTCTAAAAAAAAAAAAGTGAATGTGCAGAAGGTAAAGGATATTTTAAGGGAGACCAGAGTTAAAACAGCAAGCTGCAGAAGGAAGAGCAGGATGTCCCTGGCAGCGTCTGATCTTTCCCAGTAGCGGCAGAGATAACTTGTGACATCAGGTTTAAGGGGGTGATATTATCATTATGTTCTAAAATCAGTTTGGCTTTCTGTCTTGTCATCTTCTAGGATGTCAGAGAACTAAAATATCAGTAGAGGGAGTAAGACAGGCCTTTGCCTACTTAATTTTTGTATTATCTGTTCAGAGTAATCTGGGAGTGGCATATATCTTTTAAAAATATTTTATCTATTATCTCATTTATTTCACAGGTAGCAATTTAACATTGTAGTTATGGAGAATTTTAGAACATACAATGCGTAAATGCAGACTCTGCTTAATAAAGGCTTGCTTACTTACCCTGGTATGCTGTCTGCCAACTGCTAGGCATATGGCCACTTTGTCAGTTCAACATTGGCATAGGTTTCTAAGCATACTTAAATAACTTCAGCTTTGCTTCTTGACTGGGTCACTTGAGCCTTTCATTAGAACTTAACTGATGCTTCCTGCCTGGCATTGGGAAGAGTACTGGAGGGCCACACTGGGCTGTTATCAG